TTTTGTTAAGACCGAGATATCATTTCTGTGACATCTATTGCATTTATGGTAAACACAAAGAATAAATAAATGTGTCGCTTTATGGATAGATGACTGTTTACCATATTGCAAATAAGAATATATTAGTTGATCATTGTTTAAGAATTTGAATAGTTTTTTTCATATATATGGTCTCTTGCAAAAACTATGAGTTAGAAATATATTTAAGGATGTTATTTATTCGTTTTACACAAGTAATTCTTCTTTTCAGCACTGTATTTTGATAGGAAAGAAATAGTACTTATTTAATACACATCTGTTCGGATATTTATAAGAAAAATATTGATACAAGTTGTATTTGTACTTGCGCACCCCTCATTTAATAATCCGATAAGAGGAGGTCGATGAGGGTATAAGTTTATAACATTCGTGTCTTTTATATTTAAATTCCTCATTAATTAGAATTTCTTGAATAGAAAGATGGAAAAACTAATTTAATTACTACAACTAGATCAATCATCTGGTTAATATAATAAGATTTCTTGTTTCTTGCAAAAATTATTAACTATTCATGTAATATCCTCCCATTATCTGGCTATTTCTTTTTGTTACATAAAAAAATCTTGAAGATTTCTTTTTATGGATATTACGTGCGTAAGCTTATTATTATTTATCGAGACAATCTATTTTAATAACAATGAATAATAATGACGTTTTTATATTTAATGAAAATTGTCAAAAAAATGTATATATTCTTGAAATATGATAGGCTAGTTTTTATTTTTTATATTTTCAAAAAAGTCAGAATAAAATACAGAGAAACTACTCTAAGTAATTTCACATTCCTGATATATATATATAGGTCTTCTTGTCATTATAATATGTTTACAGTCAAAAGCATACTTCAGTGACCATTTTGACATGTAAGCATGCATGTTCAACGAGATTCTGTTCACTAGATCAATTAATAAAGCCAGACTAATTTATTTTTTTGCTTCGTCAGAATGATGAAATATGATCTAGTGAATATCTATATTGTAGAAGAAGAAGAAGAAAAAGAAGTTTGACAACATCATTTACTATAACTTCTTTTTTTTTCATTAGCTATGATTAATCATTCGGTGTTGCCAAACAGCTCTCAAAGTTCACCATTAACACAACGAGCAATGATTGATAATGAGTAAGATAGATATTCATATATATGAAAACATTCGATATATTTCTTTCATTTCTATTCTCAATAGAATAAATATAAGTTTAGCAAATGGAAGACCTAATTTTTATCAACGATATACACCTGATTTTTCTAAAAAATTTCGTGATATGTTTCATCGTTCAACAAAAAATAAACCTTTAAACATTGAAAAAGAAATGAATAATTTATCAAAAACATTAATTATGGCCAGTGAAACAACTGAAACATTAGTCGATGTTCCCAAACGTTCACATAGTGAAGATTTATGTTTGTTTTCTGAGAGTCCACATTATATTGTTCGGGTATGTTTTAATTGATGAAAATATTCGTTTGATACATAGAATTTGAAATTTTAGATTGCCGGAACTGGTAATGTTGAAGAATTTGAGCGAATGGTTCGTGATGATCCAAGCAAATTAAAAGTGGCCAATCCAGCTGGCCTTTGTGCAGCACATAATGCAGCTGCTCGAAATCGGGTTGCAATTTTAGCATTAATTGCGCAATATAAAGGAGGTATAAAGATTAGATTTACTAATGGAAAAGAAAATATTTGAATTATATAAAATTATTTTAGATTTAAATATTGAAGATAAAGATGGTTGGACACCATTACATCACGCAGTACGAAATAATGCAATCAAATCAATAGAATTTCTTTTGGATAATGGAGTTGATGATAGTCGATTAACTAAACAACGTGATGCTCCTGTCCATATCGCTGTTATTCATAATCAATTAAAAGCTCTTGAAGTATGTTGAGCAATTCTTTTTGGCTTAAAATATTATTGTCATAGATACGAATGAAAAATAGAAATCATGTTTATGACATTTACATTAATCAGTATTACTGACTGGAATGTCTTGATAATATGACAGTTAGTTATAGAGATCGTATTGTAAAGTTTTAATAAGATTCACTTATCATAAATAAATAAAAATTTAAATTAATAAATAATATGTTTCCTTTTCTATTTAGTTTCTTTTATCTAAACGTCCAGAACATGTTAATCTGCCCGGTGAAAGAGGTAAAACACCATTACACTGCGCTGCTCTAATCGATAATGTTGATGCTGCAAAAATTTTAGTAGGTATTTTTAAATTATTTGTATTTTTATTAGAAAGTAAATCTCTTTAGACGAATCATAATGCTCGTCTTTGTCACAAAGATGATGTTGGAAATTATCCTATTCATGTAGCTGCATTGAATAGTAGTAATCGAGTTTTCAATCATTTATTTGAAATTGGTATTATATAAATTAATTGTTTTTTTTCATTTTGATATAATTGTGAATTTTAGCTAAATCATTGGGTTATAAAACGGATACTCTATTAAATTTTTGTGATGCGGAAAATCATCGACCATTACATTCATCTGTTATTGGAGGAAATATTGAAGCAGTTGAAACTTGTTTAAGAATTGGGGGTAAAATTGATGATCAACAAGATGATTTATCAACACCAGTTCATCTAGCAGCATCTCAAGGTTCAATTGAGATTCTTAAACTCATGTTTAATTCGCAATCAGAACTCAGATCTAGGGTTGTTCGTATGACTGATGTTCAAGGCATGACACCATTACATAAGTAAATAATTTGATAATTATTTTTTTGTGTCGCTTAAGTAAAAATCTTATTTAAGGGCAGCCATGGGTGATCATGTTGATGTTATAGAATATTTACTTGAAACTGTAAGATTATTTCTTTGAATAATTAATTGAATAATTATTATTTGATAAATAGGGAGCAGATATTGATGCACGTGATATATTAAAACGAACACCACTTTTAGTTGCTGCTTTAAAATCATCTGTAGAAGCTGTTTGTTTTCTTCTATCACAAAATGCTTCATTAAGCTATCGAGATGATGCCGATAGAAATTTACTTCATTTTACTATCATACAAAATTTACCAATTGAAACAATTGGTAAAGTATTATTTACTCGAGAAAATTATCGTTCATTATTTGATCAACGTGATACTGATGGATTTTATCCAATACATTATGCATCACGTGAAGGACAAGTCAATGTATTAACAACATTGATAAGTCATGGAGCAGAAATCAATAAAAAAACAAATCAACGACAATCATCATTACATTTTGCTGCTGAGTAAGTTATTCTATCTAGATGTTACAATAATATATATATGAAATTTAGATTTGGCCGATATAATACATGTCGTCAGTTATTAGATACATCTGGTTTTAAACGTATTCTGAATGAACCCGACAAATCAGGTTACACACCACTACATCTTTGTTGTCAAAATGGTCATACACGTGTTGTTCAATTACTTTTACATAAAGGAGCTCAATTTACAAAAAGTTATGAAGGTAATTCACCATTACATGAAGCAGCTGCACATGGACATGTTTCAACCGTGAATACGATTCTACAAGCTCATGCTCATTTAATTAATTCAGCAAATCGTCTTGGAATGACACCGTTGCATTTAGCTGCTGCAGCTGGTTATGTTGATTGTGTAGATTTACTTGTTTCAAAATCGGCACAATTTTTAACAAATACTGATGGTGAAACATTTGTTGATCTTGCAATATCACGAAAACAAAAAGATGTTTGTCTTACACTTATTGCTCATGATCGGTAATAATAATATTTATTTTTTTTTTCATTTAATTTTCTATTCTATTTGTTTAATTAGATGGAAAGAAGCATTAGATTTAAAAAGTACTAAATATCAAACACCATTACTTGGTTTAATTGAACATTTACCAGAATGTGTACCAGTTTTATTTGATCGATGTATAACTCATAGTCATGATGATAGAAAACATAAAGAATTTCATGTAAAATTTTTTCTTTATTGATAAATAACCAATACTTTCTTTTTTTTATTTGAATTTTAGCTTGTCTATGATTTTCATTATATTAATTGGATGGATACGAAAAAAATCGATGGAAAAGAATATCGTTATCCAATGCTTCCACTTAATGTAAGTAATAAGTTAATTTCTATTTAATCTTCAAATGTCTTAATAGATGATGGTTAAATTTGGTCGTACAAATCATTTAAGCCATCCATTATGTGAAACATTACTTCGTCAAAAATGGCTTTCTTTTGGTTTTCCAATTTATATTTTAAATTTAAGTTTTTATCTCTTTTTTCTTGTTCTTCTTTCTTACTTTATCATTACATTTCCTGCATGTAATCATCATGATCGAACAAATTCCATTAGTCACGAACAATTTTGTTCGAAAACTACTTTTACATCATTTAATAATAGTGCAACAAACGTACAAATTGCTTGTATTTGGTATATTGTTCTATATTGTTTTTTAAATTTTATTTTGGAAATTGTTCAACTAACACAAGATGGTTATGAATATTTTTATGATATGGAAAATTATGTACAATGGACATTATATATAACAACATGTATATTTACTTTACCATTTTTATTTGATCAATCATGGCATTATCAATGGGTTGCGGGTGCAATTAGTATATTTACAGCTTATTTAGCACTTTTATTTCAACTTGGTCGATTTGATATTTATGGAATATATGTTATTATGTTTTTAGAAATTATGAAAACATTATTACATGTTTTATCATTATTTTCAATCTTAATATTTGGTTTTGCATTAACATTTTGTGTTACAAGACCATTTTCTCAAGTAAATATCATTTTAATTAAAACTATTTTATTTATTTTCTAATGAAAATCTAGGATCTTGATCCATCAAATCCACAACAATTTTTTATGATTGTACTTAAAACTATAACAATGATGTTAGGTGAACTAGATTATGAACGTTCATATTTGGATAATGCTCATGATCAACATTTTAATATTACTAATTTAATTGTATTACTTCTGTTTGCTATTATAATGCCAATTCTTTTAATGAATTTACTTGTTGGTTTAGCTATTGGTGATCTAATGCAAATTCAACAAAATGCTCGTTTAAAACGTCTTGCTACTCAAGTTTGTTTGTTTGTTTAATATATATATTTAAATACTCTTTGTATATTATAGGTTCAACTTCATACAAATCTTGAAAAGAAATTACCCGATAAATTAATACAACGTTGGACAAAAAATGAAATTATTGTATATCTTAATAAAGGTGTTTGTACTCGAGCTTCGACAATACTTAAACACGTAAGTGAAATTGAAAATAAACTATAGAAAATATAAAAATATTCTTTTAGTGGATTGCTAAACCTGTGAATACACATGATGTATTAGAAGCAAGTGATGAATCTGGAACTGAAAGTGCATTATTTGTAGAATTATATAAACAAAAACGAAGGTTTTTTATTCAATAATTGAAAATTAATATTTGATTATTTTTTTCTTCTTTATAGACAAAAAGATATGCAACGTCAATTAGAAAAAATTACTGATCTTATTCGATTAGTTGTTCAAAAAATGGATATTCATACTGAAGCAGAAGGTGATGAAACAAAAAGTGGTAAACATGAAAATTTCATGAAAATGCAAAGAATTCGTCAAACACTTAATGCTGCACGTCGATTTTCTCGTGCACCATCATCAAATGGAAGTATTCCACATTTATTTGAACATCCTGAAAAAGCCTAAAACTATCTATAAAAATACATGTTGTATTTGTAATTTTGTTTGTTTGTTAAATAAATGTTGTGTTCAAATCAAATAATAATCTCGACATTCAATATATATTTTTATGCTGAAAAATAAAATAGAATCTTTTGAGAAATAACTTGAGATTGGAATATGATCTCATTGAGATCCCAGCAGTCACAAAATTCTTCCAAGTAGAATTTAAGACTTCTGTGTAACCATACAGCAATGCTACCGTTTCTGAAACAGAATTTTGAAATTCTGCTTGATGAGAATTCTGCCTGCCCTCGACTATACATGCAAGGGCCAAAATAGGATGGCAACAATAATAAAACTGCATTAACATTTGTTGGTGTCGTTGTCAATGTACATTTTTTTATTCATCTTTCTTGCTCTTTACGTTTATATTTTCAAATGAAGCTAGAAAAATATAAAATTATTCGTCACAGAATAAGTAACTATCAGTCATCAGCAAATCTTCTTTTCGCGGAACGATTTCAAATCAAAAGAAGCCACATGATTATTCTTAACAATGGCTTTTTACTTTTAGATTTAAACGAAAAGAAATTATTTGTCTCATATAGAATATTTGTATACAATTCTCGCAAAATACTGTTAACGGCATTTTCCTTCATAGGTTTTCATCCTATATGATTTATAACAAACATAAGTGTAGTAGAGACTACATTTATTGTTGCAAAATCTTTGTCGCATCTATTCAACTTCTTCTTTTTTATCATTTAAACCAATATTCACCAAATAAAAATGGATGGTACCAAATTTTTACATAAATTCTATTTTTAATATTGTTTTTCTGGAAACAGTATTTGATAGGCTTAAACATTCCTGAGTTTAAAGGCGTTAGCGTAAATCTTTTAGATATCATTTTCATTTACTTTTGATGATCTCTATTACTATATATATACACCCTGTTTATCATAACAAGATCATCCATGCTTTGATCAAATAGTTGTATTGGCATAAAAAAGAATAAACAGCAGATGGTTTGATAAATAAATCATTTCACAAATTCGTTGTTTTAATATGAGAATAAATTTTCATGTGAATATCTCACAGAGAAGCTTTGTCTTACTTCCAATAAAATATCATTTGATAAAGTATTCAATAAAGTCTCTTTTCTCATGTAAAGTATATAGTGTGTGAGCACCTCTTGTTTTTGAGAACATTCATTTTTTTCGACTGCTATCAACATTTGAAATACTCGTTTCCACTTTTATAAATTCAAAATAAGTTGTTTTTTGTTCAACAAAAGTATTGAATGCTCATATTATGAAAACGTTTCTTAATATTTTTGTACTTTTTGAAGACTATTTAAAATCAAACGTTTCAATGATTTTGTAGGAAATACTTTCCTTTTCCAACAGAAGTCAAAAAAGTTCTTACGATATTCTACTATTATAATAGAGTTAATTCTCTACAGTAAATTAGATAAACTAAAAAAATTTTGCTCGATCTTACTTTCATCAATATTAAGCCTACAGTATTTTTATTGTTTTTTTAGTATAATGTTCAGAGCATACTCGATGTATGAAATTCCACAAGGCGTTTTTCATTGTTTTTTTCTACAATAAATTTCATACATTCATCAAACATCAATATAATGTCTAAGGAAGTGTGTAAAAGAAAAACGAATTTGCCCAAAGAATTGTATTTTTCTTTCTACCTATATTAGATGAAAAAATATTGCCTACACATCAGCAAACTGCAATAATGATGTAGACAGAAGGAAAATTAAGTTGGAAAGAATAATAATAAAATGAATGCGATTGTTGGCTTCTGTTTTATTCGTTCTTTCAATAACCTTACCAATAAATTTGCTTGATTTGATGTGTTTTTGAATGTAGATTTGAGTGTGGTGTTGATATTCTCTTCATCTGACCCCCAACTACACCGTCATACTTACCCACATGTACACCTATCCCCTTTAGTGTCAATGAATATTAAATTATTTTGATGGTGAAGATCTCTTACCTATCAAAAAAAGCTTTTCTTCATTCTTTTTTCTCTAACACATTTTATTGACTTTGACTCATTTTATTTTATCGAAGTTTATTTAAATACGAAAAGAGAAAAAAAACATTCATTTCTATTCTAAACTCTTTAACAAATGGCAACAGGAAACAGCAGAGCAAAATGTTCTATTTGTAATAAAGCAAATGCAGCATGTCTTTGCTCAGGATGTTCAAAAGAATTTTGTTTCCAACATTTAACAGAACATCGACAAATTCTTCGTAACCAATTAGAAGATATTATCAATAATCATGATCAACTTCAACAAAATATTATTCAACAAAAACAAAATTCACGAAATTCTTCTTCAATTCTACGAATAAATCATTGGGAAACAAGTTCAATTCATCAAATTCAACAAACAGCACAACAATGTCGAGAAACAGTGATAAAATTCACACAAAAGTTGATCAACGATACTGAAAAAAAGTTCATTGAATTATCTCAAAAATTAAAAGAAATTTACGAAGAAAATGAATTTAATGAAATTGATTTAAATCATTTTCAATTAAAATTAACACAAATTAAACAAGAATTTCTTCAACCATCAAATATTTCTATTCGACGAGATTCACAAGAATTTATCAACAAAATTTCAGTTATTTCATCATCAGGTATGTTTATTCAATTATTTTATTTCGAGAAAAAAAATGAAGTATTACTTCAAGTTTTTCGTATTACAAATTAGGGTGGGTGTGGGTGTCGGTGAAAGTGGATGTGAGTGTCAGTATAATGGTAACAGTCATACCCACCCTCGATTCGATTCAAATCGAATCGAACCGATCGTCAGTGGTTTGGTTCCGTTTCTAGTCCTAGTTTCGGTACTCCCCAGCCCCACCTACTTCAGTGAAAATCAATTTTACAGCAAAATGGCTGTTTCTTGCTAGACTTGGCTTCACTTTTCAGATGTTTGGATGAATTAGGTCGAGTTTGGTTAGGCTCAGTTCAGCCCGATATTTCAAAAATCCAGTTCGGGTTTGGTTCGGTCCGACTCCCATTGAAAGAATCTGATTCGGGTTCGGTTTGATTTGAGTCTAGCAGAACCAAGCTCAAGTGGTTTGATTTCGGGTCCCAGCCATCACCCACACTCACACCGACAAACAATAAAACTAACACCCATAGTGTCACTCCCACACCTAGTCCCATGCCAACTTCGACATAAACACCCAAACCTTCTTCTCGTAGTTTCAAAAAATTCTCCATTCTTCTGAAATAGCTCTTGAAAATCGGAAGACGAAAAAGTTCCGTATTTTTCTCGAACAGCGTTCAGAGATTTTCCCGTATCCAACGGAGAAGAACTATCTAAATTATATTGACCCAACCTAACGATTCTAACTTTCAAGATGCATTTAGTTTTCACCATGTTTGTCCAAACTCGCACTGGAAAAACAACAACATTAGAAGTTGGACCGCTCGATACCATCGAAAATGTGAAAGCAAAGATTCACGACAAAGAAGGAATGCCACCCGATCAACAGCGGTTAATTTTTTCCGATAAGCAACTAGAAGATGGACGAACGTTGAGTGATTACAATATACAGAATGAATGCACTGTATATCTTCTTCTTCCCTTCGATGAAGGGTTTCCAATCTATATCAAAACTCTTACTGGAAAAACAATAACACTAGAAGTCGGACCACTCGACACCATCGAAAATGTGCAAGCAAAGATTCAAGACAAAGAAGGAATACCACTCGATCAACAGCGATTAGTTTTTGCAGGTAAACAACTAGAAGACGGACGAATGTTGATTTCTTACAATATACAAAACGAATCCACTCTACATCTTTTTCTACGCTTACGTGGACAATTTTCAATTTATGTCAAAACTCGTACTGAAAAAACAATAACACTGGAAGTTGAAGCGCTCTACACCATTGAAAATGTGAAAGCAAAGATTCACGACAAAGAAGGAATACCATCTGATCAACAGCGGTTAATTTTTGCCGATAAACAACTAGAAGATGGACGAACGTTGAGTGATTACAATATACTAAGACATTGTACTGTATATCTTCTTCTTCCCTTTGATCAAGAGTTTCCAGTCTATATCAAAACTCTTACTGGAAAAACAATAACACTGGAAGTTAGACAGCTCGACACCATCGAAAATGTGAAAGCAAAGATTCAAGACAAAGAAGGAATACCACCCGATCAACAGCGATTAATTTTTGCCGGTAAACAACTAGAAGATGGACGAACGTTGAATGATTACAATATACAAAATGAATCCACTCTACACGTTGTTCTACGCTTAGGTCTAGGGTTTCCAATGTTTGTCAAAACTCTTACTGGAAAAACAATAATAGTGGAAGCCGAACCGCGCGACACCATCGAAAATGTGAAAGCAAAGATTCACGACAAAGAAGGAATAACACCCGATCAACAGCGATTAATTTTTGCCGGTAAACAA